CCAAATTCCCCAAATTCCCCAAATGCCAAACTCTCCAAATTCCCCAAATTCCCTAAATCCCAAATTCCCCAAATTCCAAATTTCTCAAATTTCAAACTGCCCAAATTCCCCAAATCCCAAATTCCAAATTGCCCAAATTCTAAATTCCCCAAATTCCAAACTCCCCAAATTTCGCAAATCCCAAATTCCCCAAAACTTAAATTGCCCAAATACAGTTTACTTTTATCTTCTATAACATCATCATTTTTGTGTTAAGCTATTTTCCAATTTCCTAAATTTTTAACCAACTTCGAAAAAGGAGGAGATTACTCAATTCGATCAGTATATATTTTTTTTCGATTTGTTTATATTTTATTAATATTGCTTTTATTGCGCCAAATCAATTCTTGCATTTAACATTAGCAGCCATATGAAATTCATAGGATCAATGATCATAGACACGAGGGGCGTCTAATTACCTAGCACGATCTGTAAATGAATCCAAAGTTGTTTCATTTTAGGCGTGACATCTATTGTGAATGCAGGCAGCAAGATACATTAGAGGAACATTAGTATTCGTAGCTCTGATGCGTAGCTGTGTACTCTGAACGTGATATGCCGCATGCCACGATACACGAACGTCAAAGGACCTTGCCTCTCTATAGATACGATGTAACATTACGCGAACGTGTGTAATCACGGCCAGTTGGCACGGTTGTATACGTATATTTTGACATGTGTTACACAGCCCCGAAAGCCGTATCAGTCAAACTGAATAGGGTAATCGTTATTGCGCGAAATTTGATGGACTGCTGCTAGTCCGAAATTACAGGCCCGTACGATATCGTGGTCCGCGAACATTTGTCACGTGAATTCTTGTTAACCCACCTACCACCTACCCTTAATTCGCATCGTAACACGTGTTGTTTGCTTTTGACACGTAAAACAGTGATTCATGATCATTCTGTTTTACTGTCTTTCATTTCTGGATCCTTTATTAACACTTGTACTGTTACTGTCCCATAAAAACGTACGCCACGAATCATTTTCTTCGTTTGCGTGAAAAATGCATCGGGCTGGCATACTTTTGTAACGACATAAATCTGTCTGAATTATTGATTGTTTATGAGTGGAACAGAAAGCAAACTTCGTTAAATATTTTAGGTAGAATAATAAGTATAATATTTATGACGTATGAACTTCTAAAAGAAATTTGGACCAACACTCTGAACAATGTACCTTATTTTTTCGATATTTTTCTGTAGTAACGAAATTATAACCTGATACAATTGCGTGAACCATCCTGTATAGTTCCAAGTAAATCGTATCGAAGTGAACAATACCGTGAAGAAATCTAAATTATCGATAGGTGATTAAACTTTTAACGTCTCGACATGGCCAGAAAGCCGCAGGCTGTACCTAACAAAGCAAGAGCCATTGAGATCGAAGGCTTTTGAAACGGAGAAAACGAAGAATACTTACGTTTCGACCAGAGGCAGTTTAAAAGCTTTCATACGGATATCAAAAGGAACTCGGGGAAATAACGTCCTCGACAATGGAGAAACTCACCGTCATCCTATCGTAGAATCTTCCAACTTCAGAAGATATAATACAGCAAATACATTGTCAGTCACTGTGAGCCAACACCTTATATAACTTCTTCTTTTGAAAACTTCTGACAGAAGCTCATACAGATTGTGCTTTGCAGAGTGATTCGTAATGAATAATTAAAAATACTTTTATCCCATTGCTCTATTTCATGGAACCTTTGATTACTTTGCAATTAACGCTTTTATTAATTTAAATGCTAATCGACGTAATGAAATTTTTATCTGATCTTAAGTCTGACGAAATTGTGAATATTCAATGTTACATGTATCTCATCTTATAAAATTCGATTTTAGTTGAATTATTGAAATAGATTTTATAGTAGGTCTTATAAAATAGATTTTAAGTGGGTATAAAAAATAAACCTCTTTTTGAAAACAAGCGATTTTTAATGAGACTAATCGTTAAATATTACTATGTTGCTTTATTAAATGAGACTTGAAATCTGGATATCTTCAGATCTCTAGACATGGAGATCATCAAACCTTTAAAACTGTAATTTGCTAGATTTTGTAATGTCTATTAGATCGCTAAATATTTGGATCCACGGATACCAAGATATCCAAGTACCTATCCCCACATCTCCATGTCCTCAAATTCATATATCTACAAATACATACATATGTCAGCAAATCACCGCACATCCTGTCTAACCTTTATATGGTGATATATGTATATCATCATACATATGTCCTTACACATCTATACCCTCAAAATCCTTATGCACCCAAAGTTGTATGTTACCAAATCTCTATGTCTTCAGAACACTATATACCCAATGACCTATACCTTCAAGTCCTTATATGTATATTCTAACTTCTACGTTACCAAATCTTCATATCCCCAAATACCTGTAACCCCAAATCCATATATTCTCAGCTACCTATAACCCCAAATCATTATATACCCTAACTTCTTTGTTACCAAATCTTCATATCCCCAAATACCTATAACCCCAAGTTCATTGTATATTCCCAAATCATAGTATACCCTAATTTCCAGATTACCAAATTTCTATACCCCCAACTCCATACATTCCCTAATACCAATAACCCCAAATCGTGATTTACCCTAACTTCTATGTTACCAAATTTCTACGTCCCCAAATACCTATATCCTCAAATCGCTATATACTAAAATACCTACATCCACAAATTCCTATATTACTAAATTTCTATACAGATTGCATAGTCACGATATTGTGTATCAAAGCGCAGAAATTCATTTCAATTGAACACGTTTCATGAATATTTGTAATGTATATTAATTCCGCACATGTGCGTTAATTAATTTTCAGCTAGATAGTTTCTAGTCTCAAAGGATTAACTTCAAATATGTGTAGCCCGTTTGATAGTACGTATCACAATATCCTAAACAGACCATTTTATCGAAGTAAATATTAAATAAAATTGAAAACAAAAATTAAAATCAACGTTAAATAAGAATTGATATTCTGTAAATATTGCAGGATGTAATTCTATTTCTATATTTTTTTTACTTCTTTTATGAAGATTCATTGTATATCTCGTTGGTAAAACGAAATATGTTAGTAAAACAAAATATATTCTTGTATATAAATTATTACTAACATATTTCACAATTATAAAAATGTTATAATTTGAAATATAACATATTTGTATATTATAATTTAAAATATACCATATTTTTGTGATTCAAAAACAGTATAAACAAATTTTTGAATTATAAAAACATTTAAATTACAGAAATATATTAGTAAACTATATTTACGTTAAAATAGTTTCGTTGCGAAAGCATATTTACGTAAACTTCATTTTTGCGAGTATTCGATGAACGTACACAGCCACTAAAATACTCCTATACGCGTTTTGAATTTAATTAAAATTTGTACGGTTAAAATTCACTTCAACACACCGGCACTCGGGCATGAAAATGCAGGAAGTCACGCGTTCTCTATTTCAATCGTTGCTCCCCCACATAAATCTACAAATAAATCCTCTCAGACAAAAGACCTTTTCCATAAAAGATTGCCTTTCGAGCCGACTCTGCTGGCCGATCCCGCTTCATTCAATATTTCAATCCGTGGTTCGAGAAAGATCGATGTTGATGGGATGAGATGAACGAATGATGACAATGCGGTCATTGAGACACGTTATTGTCACACGATAAGCAACCGCCATATCTTCCATAAGATCGATTATCAGCTATTATTAGTAAAAGAAAGAGACGGATCAAAGCACTGACCTCGAGGAAGTCCTTCACGGTTGTGTCGACGACCATCAAAGGTCGTTGAATCAAGTGCACCACGCCGTTCTTCACCGGGATATTTGCTTTAACTATTTCCGCCATCACCACTCCAGTTGAATGACCCGAATTGTCCACCATGGTGTCCGATTGGACGTAAACTGAAAATTATATTTAAAAGTATTTATAGTGCGTGAAGAAAGTTGTTCGTCCTTTTGTAGTTATTAGATTTTCAATGGAGTTAATGTAGGGATTTTTAGTTTTCATAAGTTAGGTGCGTGCCGATTTTCGGCCATATTTTTCCACAGTCTTTCTCACTTCCGTTGTGACCATCAAACAAGTAAAATGCGCGGTAGTAGCATAGAGAGTTTTCTTTTTATATCTTTATATTAGTTTGCATTTATCGTCTTTTTGTATTATCCTTTTGTATTATATACTTTTTAAACATGCTTGTGTTTTTGATTCCACGGAAATTAACTCTGAACAGTGCAATTACAACGGTACATGGTTGGTCGAACGTTATTCTATTCTACGGAGGCCACTCGTTATATTGCATTTTAATGGAATTCTCTGCTTATGCGGTTCTACGCATATTAATGAAATTTTCATACATATAACGTAACAATGTAATAGATATTCATAAATTTCCATATTCTCAAACTTAAAAAATTTTACCCTCCCAACTTTACAAATTCTGAAACTTTAAGATTTTTAAGTATGCAAATAATATATAGGAGCTATGTTTAAGTTCAAAAATTTTCAAATTCCCCAAATCCCAAACTACCAAAATCCTGAAACACGAATTTCTCAATTTCCAAATTGTCTAAACTCGAAATTACCCAAACCCTACATTTCTCAAACTCCATGGTTCCAAAATCCCTGGAATTTTAAAGTTCCTAAATTTGAAATTTCTCAAACCCCAAATTATCCAAATCTCAAATTCCCCCAATTATACACTTCACGAATTTCAAATTCCCCAAATTGTACACTTCCCGAATCTCAAATTCCCCAAATCTCGAAGTCCCTAAATTCTATATTCTCCAAATCCCAAATTCCTCAAACCCCAAATTTTTCAAATTCGAAATTTCCCAAATCTCAAATTCCTTAAATTCCAAATTCCCCAAATTCCAAATTTCAAATTCCAAATTCCAAATTTCCCAAATTCTAAATTCCAAATTCTCCAAATTCCCCAAATTTCCAAAATTCCCCAAATTTTCAAAATTTCTCAAAATTCCCTAAATTCCTCAAACTCCCGAAATTCCCCAAATTTTCAAAATTCCCAATATTCCTCAAATTCCCCAAATTTTCAAAATTCCCAGAATTCCTCAAATTCCCCAAATTCGAAATTCCCCACACCTGAAATTCTCCGAATCTCAAATTTGCCAAAAAAATACTTATTAAAAATTTATTTCTTTGAATGTAATATAAAAAAGCAACATTACTTCCGAATCCTTTAATTTTTCCAATACATACATCTCGTATAGATTTCCAGTTGCGCAAAACGAATCTACGTGGAACGAATACTCCGCGTAAAGTGAGAAACAGTAACTGTGAAATTTCTAAACTAATTCTACAGTGTACGTATTTACTGATCTACTGACCTATGTACGAAAATATCTGTTGCATTAAATTTATGCATATTGTTGAAGCTTACCTTTATCATTTTCCTTGCGGAAACTAACGGTGACTTTGACGTTATCGCTGAATGCAAGGGTTTCATAAGGTATTTTATCAGGTGTTGGGGTTGTGAAGAGGACGTGGTTGGGTATCACGTGGCCATCAATTACCACGCGGTCAACCTTTTCCGGTCTTGGCGTCGGCTGTGAAAGAACAAAAGAAAATTTATTACAGAATCAGTAGCTGCGATACTACAAAGTTGCATCAATCTTGACTCGAAATTATGGACTAGCTTGAAAGCATAATTTATAATAACAATATGTTATATTTGGCAAATAAATTGTATTATATGTTTATGGTCAATTTTTAATCTCCCACTTTCAATAAGCGGGTAAATTTTTTCACCTTCTAGTGACAAAGATGTCTCAAATGTTAACATCTTGCCTTAAAATATTCTAGACTTGATGCACATTACTGTTGGAATGCGACAAAATTGGCTCTTATTTTCACTATAATTGAATTTCAAGTTTGATTTTAATTCCAACTCGTCCACTAGTGATCTAGTACTTAACAGTTTTACCGTAATCCTTCCAATAAAAAATTTTAATGATCACATATTTTGTGCAACTTTGCCAACATATTGGTGTAAAACATTAAATGCCGAAATCATAAGCGACATTGGTTTACAAAATGTTAGCAAAATTGTTCACGGCTCTTTATATTTTAGTCCGGACAATACATTGCCTTATTTTTTTAATAGTTGAACAAAGTACAATGACTCCAATCGAAGTTTCAAAGGTTAAAGCGTGTTAAAAATTTGCTGGATTGTCTGTTGGTTCATTTTCAATACTTTTATTTAAATAACGATTCCAAATATATCGCGTAAAAATTGGATAAAACATTGTAATCAGAACGGCACATACACATATATCTGGACATTCGTTAAACAATACGAGTATGGTATAAAAGAAAAAACAATACAGCGTTTACATTTGATATTTCACGGAAGAATGCCCAGAAATAATTGCAGCAGAATTATAAAAAGAGCATAATACGAACCGGAATTGAAACACAATGAATCCTCCGTTGCATAAATAATAATAAAATTGGAACAGTAGAAAAAATATCTGACACCTCGGTAAGAAATTTCAGTCATAAAATTTTTGGTTTTCATTTTACAGGTGAGTAGATTTCCGTTCGAAGGAATTCGTGTATAAAATCACGTTGCCTATTGATCGAGTTTCAAACCAGACGGATTCTTTTCTGAACGCAAATACAGGTTCTCGGTTTTCCTTCCGTTCCTTTTGAACGCGTTTCTAATTGAAAAAAACTCACGATTGCCCGAATTCTCGATTCTACATGCTCCAAATTATTCGACTTTCCGACAGACCGAGATGCCCGCTCTGCATTTCACGGTTCCGTGATTGCACAGCATCTCGATTAATATGATCCTCGATAATAGGGATTCCCTTCTGCAGGAATTCTCGAATATCTGGATACACTGCAATTATACAGGGTGTTCTTTTTACTGAAACTCTATGAACATATGAGTTTATTTTGAAAAAGAGGCAAGAAAATGAAGATTTGGAAAATGAAGATAATAATAATGATAGATGAAGCTTAATACAGTATAGTAAAATTACGAATTTTAGTCCAAAAAATATATAATCGTTAGTTAGTCTAGATGAAAATCTTAGATACAAAAACATCTAGTTTATTCTTCAGATAGAATAATCATAGAAAACAGAGGAAGCAGAGAATCTAGTCATGGACTTTGATATCCTTGATAAAGTAAACAATTTGAACGTCTTACCTAGCACCTGATTGTCACGAGATAAACTGTCAATGGTTAATATCACAATTTTATCTGTAAATCTATAAGGTGAAGTGGGGTAAGGTCGTAAACAGGGTAAGTGCGTATACAGGCTATTTTTATTACAATATGAGCAAAATTTCTCCATTTAGTATGTTTGTTTCCTTGTTCTGTTTCACTATATCCCCTTTTATATTTCAGCTAAGAGTATTTGTTTGCAGTATAGAGTACTTGCATAATGCAGTAAAAAGCATTTTATAGCAAATTTGTCAATAATTCTGCTCTTGCCCCATTGCACATAAAATAAAGTCCCAAAGTATTTAACTTCAAGTTACGCTCTTACTCCATTTTCGGGGAAAGTGCAGAATAGTTGACATTTTAAACAATTTCCTGTCAAACTCAAAATGTACCAGGAAAATTAAGGGCCTAGTTAATATTAATTAAATAGTAGTAATTGTGCAAAGCGTTCGATATCGACAGCGTTAAGTATTTACATAGCAGACTGAAAATACTTACGTTTAAATACCAACTTATAAAAACCAGTCTGCACTTATCCCAGTTTACCTTAGTCAAAATAATTCAAATTCTCTAATATTTTGATGATAGAAGTTTTGATAATTAACCTCTTGGCTACTGTAGGTGTCTATAAGTACTTTTTGCGTTTGTGACACAGAGAGCGCCCATAGGTATTCGACATAGTTTGACTTACTGACACTTCACATTAATATTAAATTCGTAAAATTTATACCAATTCGGTTTAAAGAAATAAATAATATTGTTTTAATGTAGTGGAATTCAGTTTTTTGATTACTGAAATATATTTTCACCAAAAATGCATACCTATTCAAAAGTTCGTCGTTCTCGGCACACATTCTATCTCAATTCGCGTTGTATGGTACGATCAGTACGCATCAAAGTCGGCCGTAGTCAAAGAGTGAACGGTAGTGGAAAGTGGTTTATTTTGAAAGTGGTGTAAGTTCTTAGGTTAACGTTATTTTGACCTGAATATATTAAGGTATTTAGCTCTTTTTGTTTTGAGGTTTTGAGGAATATGGATAATACGGTGAAAAACTACAAATTGTACAATATTGATGATACAACCTCAATATGAGGAGGTAGGTCTGTTTAGATGTGATTAGTGATTTCTGTTATCAGCTTGCAAGTTTTAGTCCAGTTTCTAATAAATATTCAACAAGGTCAACATGGTTCTTGTTTTACTATTAATGCATTAAAACCCTTAACAATTGCACTGTTATTTGAAAATTAATTACAAATTGTGGTTTATTTTATTGAAAAAAAATATAGCTAAGAATAACTTTAACGAATATTACAACTGACGCGTCTAAAAGTAAAGTTGGTAGGTAATAATACAATGCAATAACTCAAAAGTCCCAAGATACTAAAACTCAAAAATGATTAAGTTTTTAAAGCTGCAAATTTCTAGACCTCTAAAATTTCAAAACCAAAAAGTCCGAAAATTAAAAAATCCCAAGGTGATAAAACTCAAAAATGATTACACTTCTAAAGTTCATAATTCCTAGAAGTATAACATTTCAAAACCCAAAAATCCTAAAATTAAAAAATCCTAAAAGAACAAATGCCAGAACTTGAAAATGATTAAGCTTCCAAAATTCAACATTCTTGAATTTCTAAAATTCTAAAGTTTCAAATTTCTACATTTCTAAAATTCTGAAGTTTCAAATTTCTGGAGCTATGAATTTCAAACCCCAAAAGCTTCAAATTTCCACGTACCAAAATTCCAACACTGAAATTTCAAAGTTTTAAAATTCTAAATACTGTCTCAGTGCCTAAAATTCCACAGTCCAAAAATTTAAAATTTCAAAAAGTCTCAATGTGCCATAATTCAAAAATAACTGACCATTTAGAATTTCAAAATTCAAAAATTTATATAAATATCAATATTGTGCGTTTATTTCGCCCCTTTGATATAAATAATTGTGCATAAAAAAACAATGTACTAAAAATACTTTTTCAGTTGTTATATTTCATCAAAATTTCATCAACATCAGAATCGATTTGATTAGATTTTGCTTGTTAATTTCCCCACATATAGATTCACCCCGGTAAAGGTCATTTGATCTTGAACGGCGAACCCGGCATGAATTGATTCCCGATTCCTGATAAGCCACGGCCACGCTATTAAACGCGGTATTCTCACGTGACAAAGATAAAACGTGCCTGTTCCGTGCGATCCAGATTCTGAGGACGTCTAGAGATAACTCTTAATACTTCCGTTATGGCAAGGTTGAAAAAAAAGAACAGTATAGTTTCTATATAAGCGAATCTTTCGGGTTTGTACTTTTACTTATATGAACCGTTCATTTTGAAAGTAGTCTAACAATAAGTCCATTTATCAGATGTTTGTTGTTAATTGTAGTAACTGCAACAAATTATATTAACTATGTTAATTGTAGTACTATATTAAATTATATATTAAGTGTCATAAAAACGATTATTATAACAATTAATATAAAGTGGTACATGTTACTACATTATTAATTATGCGGTTAAATATATTCGGAACATACAATTATTTTGGACGTATAAATTTTCGCAGTTACTTTGGTAGTTGAAAAATTGATTTTGAAAGTGGCTTATGTCCAATTTATTACTAATAACATTGGAAACTGCATATGGTAATTATATAATTAATTACACTGTACAGCAGCCAACTGATTTCGTAACGGCTACTATGAAATCCTTATAGATTTTTGCGAGCTGAATACGAATCTGAAATCCGTTTTTCTCTAGGACGTACAGTTTTTGAGAAAATTAATTTTAAAAAAAATTGCAAATTTTCAACTTTGGAAACTTTTTGTGCTTTTACCGTAGCAGCTATTCAGTGGCTTTTTACACGAGAAGAATCTGTGAATTTTCCTGAATAAAACTATATAAATTGTTATTACATTGTAAATATTTAAATATGTTTAAATGATGATCAAAGTAAGAAAGACACCAAAAACGCACGGCGGTTGTTGTCCTCTTCTAATATTTTTTTAACCAATTCAGAAGTCCATTTTAACCAAGTCGCTTGTCAACCCCCATCAGCATGTCGATCCAACTCCACATTTCAATTTTTGGCAAAAATATTTTTTTGTGACTTTATAGATTCTCTCATCAACCTTCGTCTGCATTTTGTGTGGGTCTAGGCGAAAATCTAACCATCGCACATGACAGAGTAGACATTTCTGTAGAAGAAAGCATCAAGCGAAGTTACAAAATCACCTTTGCTTTCTTTTTATAAAAAAAATATTATAGTTCAGCAAAACACGCGCCGCTGTCAGTGGTACTCAATGTTGGTGCGGCGCGGCAGTCTAGTCACCTTGACGGACTATTTTTTTTATAAAAAGAAAGCAAAGGTGATTTTGT